AAAATTAGGCTTAATTTCTTTTTAAATTGCTTAAATTCAGCTTCTTATGTCTGTCTTAGAATGGATAAGTGTTTCTTAAAGAGAGAGACTTGTTAAATAATATTGTGATATGCAGAATGGACCCCTGCACAAGAAATTTCATGTTCTTACTTTATTTATTAAATATATCCAATTATTTCTAATTTTTTTCTTTCCTTTTTTGCAAAGCTAGGTATAAACCCAGGGCCTTACACATGCTAAGCCAGCATTCTGCCACCGAGCTACATCCCAAGCCCTCTATTATTTTTTAAGGCTATCTGCAGTGAAAAGTGGTTTGGCAAAATAAATGTTTAAATGTTTTATATTAAAATACAAAAAATTATTATTATAGAAAGTATTTCATTAACTAGGATTAGAGATTCCATTTGACTCAGATGTCCCTCTGAGGGATATCGTTCCAAAAGAATTAAAAGAATCACACCACAGTGGTATATGTGCACCTATGTTTATAGCGGCACAGTTCGTAATAGCTAAATCTTGGAAACAGCCCAACTGCCCATCAGTTGGAGATTAGATAAAGATGTAGTTTTTCTATAAAATGAAATAGTACTCAGCCATAAAGAATGAGAAACTAGAGTCATTCTTAGAAAAATGGATGCCTATTTAGACCATACTCAAGTGAAATAAATAAGACACATATGTGTAAATATTGAATAGTTTCTCTGGTGTGAAAAACTAAAAGTGTAAATAAGATCCAAATATGTATAATTGATAATGTGAAATAAGAAGAAAATGGCCAAAGGTGTAGGGGAAGTGGGCAGGGTAGGGGAAAGGAAATAAGGGACAAGAAAAAATTATGAGAAAAGGAAAAAATGGAAACAAAGTGTTTGTAAATAGGGGAGGATGGAGATGGTGAAGGGAGGGCAGGGGTATGGGGAAAAATGAGAACCAAGACCTGTCATGTAAAGGCACAAGATCCCAATGATGAATGTAACAGTACTGGATACCTAAAAAGTACCAATAAACTCAATAAGACAAAAAAAGAAAGTATCTCATTAAAAGGTCTTATGGTTAACATGTTCAAAATAAGATGCTACCTGTAGCCACAATGATAGTATGTGATCTTTGACTTAGGGATTTAAAATAATATTTAAAATTTCACCCCATATCCCTAATTAAACTATAAGAATTCAAAGTTCACATCTGATAATTATGGGCTATTTCTTGGTAGTCTTTAATGAGTATCAGGATTCAAATGCATAAAGCATCACTATTTTTACATTTTGTTAAATAAGTGTTGTGGGTCTATCTTGTCAGTCATATAAATGTTTGCCTATAACTTGAAAGAAAAATGAAAATATACATAAAAACTATAACATGGAACCTTCTAAAAATCCAGAATAGCAAAAGTCAGCAAATGGTTTTTATTTACTTTTAATTTTTTCTTAGAATATATTATCATATAAATTATCTGAATGATTATTAAATGTAATAGCTGGATTTATTATATATTATATGCCTACACCCAAGTTAAATATTTTACATGTACAATTTCATTTGATCCTTACAATAACCTGATAACACACACCATTATAACTCAATATTATATATAAGCAAACCAAGGCTTAGAATTCATTCATCAAATAGGAACAATATTAATTTATGTCAAAATGAGATTATAGGTATAAAATATGGACAGCATAGCACATAGAAATAGTAAGGTTTTTGTCATTATTTTTACTCACAATGCTAGTGTATCTCCTTTTCAAATTAACATTTTATTAGAAAATGAGTCAAACAACCAAAAAATATATATAAACTAATACTGTCCAACAGAACTCTGTGATGATGGAAATTTTTGGACTATCCATGCTGCCCAACATGGTACCCACTGATAGCTAATGAACAACTCAGTTCCAGCATTAGTTAATTTCAACTTATTTATTTAGCATTAAATTTAAACTGCTACCTGTGGTTAGTAGCTACTCTGTTATATAAGGGAGTTTTAAATGGCTAAAAATAATCAGGTATCCCAGCATCTTCACTTTTGTTCATGGTTTTTATATTGTCTTTCTCACATTTTCACATAATGGCAAATTACGCTTATTTATTTACTTTCAACAGCTGCTATATAAGTAAATGACATAACAGAGGACACTGATTTCCTGTCCCCGGGAAACTGTTTCTTCGACAATTTATTTTGTAATATCTGTTCAGTGAACTCTTTTAAGTCCTCAGACCTTATTCGTGTGGGAACTAATACCTCTTGGTATTTCAGTTTTTTAATTGCGCAAAACAATATATAGCAGGGCATTCAAACCAAAAATAAAAATCCTATTTTAAACTTTCTTCTTTGAGCTATAATTCTATACTTTTCAAAATAAATGTCCTTTTTTGACTACATATTGTAGAAAATACAAATATATTTAAAGTATAGCACATTAACAGGAGCCAAATTTTGGGTTTGGGGGACAGCAACTTAGATATGATAGAGATAATCTAAGCCCATTGTAGAGTATATTAGCCTTGAAATAATAATTCCTTTGACTATGTCCCTCTTTCTCTGCTCATTTTGTTCTGTTAGTTTTTTGTTTTCCAGAATACCAGTTTCTTACTCTTTTTTTCCCTTAAGAAAATAATTGAGTGTATCTTGATAAAACCAGGGTTTAAGTTTCTCTATCCTCACATTATTAAATTATCTGTTTTCTGATTTCCAAAAGCATGTGAAAATGTTATCATCCACACACAAGTAACAGAGAAAAAAACTACACATGCACCTTAAAGATTTAATTCAAGGTCTGCACAAGGATACTTTGTCTTGAACGCCACTATCAATTTATTCCTCAGTGGAATAACCTAAACTTACTCCAAACTGTGAAAAATTCCTGTTACCTTTGTGCATAATGTCCCCCATCCCATTCCCTCATGAATTTGCTAGGGACAAGTTCTGAGAAAAGAAGCATCAAATACCATCTTGTCTTTGGTTCAACATTCCAGTCAGTGGTAGGTGATTTTCTTAGCAATGGAATCACTCCAAAGCCTGCACACAGTATAACTTAAATCTGATCCTGGCTTTCCTAATTACATTTTCTGCTCCCCTTAACTTTGGCCATAAAATTGTACGCATTCCGATTTATTTTAAACTCTTTATCTTTACACTCAATTTCTAGATCAGACCCATCACATATTCTATCTAAGCAAATTTATTACCTAGGAAGCAAACTCAAACGTACTTTTAAAAAGTATTTATTCTATACCATAATGATATGGGTTTGCTTTCATCAGTTCAGTCAATCCAAAATTAGTTATTAAGCAAACCCTCATGATTGATGAAATCACTGAGGTAAATCCTGTATGGCCTAAAAGGTTATATCCATATGATGTCAATGCCAGATACACAGTAGTTACTTAATAAATGTTTACTGAGAGACTATATGCCCAAGAAAAACAAATCTTTATTTAATAGTTACTACTTTTTAAAGACTTTCACTGTATTGAAAAAATGTAAATCCTATTTTAAACTTTCTTCTTTGAGCTATAATTCTATACTTTTCAAAATAAATGTCCTTTTTTGACTACATATTGTAGAAAATACAAATATATTTAAAGTATAGCACATTAACAGGAGCCAAATTTTGGGTTTGGGGGACAGCAACTTAGATATGATAGAGATAATCTAAGCCCATTGTAGAGTATATTAGCCTTGAAATAATAATTCCTTTGACTATGTCCCTCTTTCTCTGCTCATTTTGTTCTGTTAGTTTTTTGTTTTCCAGAATACCAGTTTCTTACTCTTTTTTTCCCTTAAGAAAATAATTGAGTGTATCTTGATAAAACCAGGGTTTAAGTTTCTCTATCCTCACATTATTAAATTATCTGTTTTCTGATTTCCAAAAGCATGTGAAAATGTTATCATCCACACACAAGTAACAGAGAAAAAAACTACACATGCACCTTAAAGATTTAATTCAAGGTCTGCACAAGGATACTTTGTCTTGAACGCCACTATCAATTTATTCCTCAGTGGAATAACCTAAACTTACTCCAAACTGTGAAAAATTCCTGTTACCTTTGTGCATAATGTCCCCCATCCCATTCCCTCATGAATTTGCTAGGGACAAGTTCTGAGAAAAGAAGCATCAAATACCATCTTGTCTTTGGTTCAACATTCCAGTCAGTGGTAGGTGATTTTCTTAGCAATGGAATCACTCCAAAGCCTGCACACAGTATAACTTAAATCTGATCCTGGCTTTCCTAATTACATTTTCTGCTCCCCTTAACTTTGGCCATAAAATTGTACGCATTCCGATTTATTTTAAACTCTTTATCTTTACACTCAATTTCTAGATCAGACCCATCACATATTCTATCTAAGCAAATTTATTACCTAGGAAGCAAACTCAAACGTACTTTTAAAAAGTATTTATTCTATACCATAATGATATGGGTTTGCTTTCATCAGTTCAGTCAATCCAAAATTAGTTATTAAGCAAACCCTCATGATTGATGAAATCACTGAGGTAAATCCTGTATGGCCTAAAAGGTTATATCCATATGATGTCAATGCCAGATACACAGTAGTTACTTAATAAATGTTTACTGAGAGACTATATGCCCAAGAAAAACAAATCTTTATTTAATAGTTACTACTTTTTAAAGACTTTCACTGTATTGAAAAAATGTTCACAATCATATGATCAGCTGAAATTCTATATTAGTTTTATGTGAAATCCTAGTAGTTGCCTCTTTACATCAGATGATAGCACATGGTTAGTTGGAAATTTTACCCAAAACAAACAAACAAAAAAATAAAGCATGGCCTAAGTGCCACTAACAGGGCTCTCACTGATGAGATATATGAAACAATAGATTTAGATAACACAATTTGCTCCACACAGCATAGCATGATGGTTTATAGCACAATCTCTGGAAGCCAACCCACTCGTTCCTTATGCCACCTCGGACAAGTTATGGAACTTCTCTGATCCTTACCTATGCAAAGGTGATATTAATGGGATCCACTGTGAGAAATAACTGTTAGCCCATTTTTGAAGTCTTAGGATAATCTGGAATATACAATAAAAATTGACATTTTAGCATTAAGATAATGATGACAGTGATGATGATGGTGATGATGATGTGGCGAAAAAATAAAAACTGGACCCAAGTTTTCATATTGAAGTCATTTTCAGCCTCATCCTGGTAGTTGGGGGTCAATTCTTATTGCAAATTCCTTATATTTCAAGGAAACTTTAGTAATAGAACTTTAGAGCTAGTGGCTTCATGTGTATTATGTGCCCTTTTTCAGAAAGTGCAAGTGGTGGTAACTGTTTTGGACTATGACAAGATTGGCAAGAATGATGCCATCGGCAAAGTCTTTGTGGGCTACAACAGCACCGGCGCGGAGCTGCGACACTGGTCAGACATGCTGGCCAACCCCAGGCGGCCCATTGCCCAGTGGCACACCCTACAGGTAGAGGAGGAAGTGGATGCCATGCTGGCCGTCAAGAAGTAAAGGAAAAAAGAAGCCTTTCTGCATTTGCCCACATAGTGCTCTTTAGCCAGTATCTGTAAATACCTCAGTAATATGGGTCCTTTCATCTTTCCAGCCATGCATTCTTAACACAATTCAGTGGTACTTCAAATTCTGTTTTAATTTGCACAAATTTAAGTGTAGAGAGCCCCTATGCCCTTCATCATACCACTGCCCTCCAAGTCTACTCTTCTTTTAAGCAATATGATGTGTAGATAGAGCATGACCAAAATTATTTATTGTATCTCACCACTGTATATACCAGTATGCTAAAGATTTATTTCTAGTTTGTGTATTTGTATGTTGTGTTTCCTAATCTGTGTATATCTAGATGTTTTTAATAAGATGTTCTATTTTAAACTACGTAAATTGACTGAAATATAGGAGAGCTGATAATATATTATATGGTAAATATAGTATCAACTGCATTCCAGCAAAAATATCAACTTGCAAGGCACTAGTACAGTTAAACAGACATCTTAAAGGACAACTTAAACCTGAGCTTTCTATTGAATCATTTGAGTATCAAGATATGCTTATACCACAAATTTGGTGGGCAAATCCAATTTTGTAGAATTACTTCACAGGCAAAACAGCATGATCTGAGCAGCACTGAGGCTGACATCAAGGAAGCATAGCCACAAACCAGAACAGTATCTGTCTGTGCACACCTGCAAAGCTAAAATCATGGCTTCACTCTTGCATTTGAGGAAGCAACTGAACAGGAGTCAATGAATTCACATTATTACATATAATGTAACAACAGGATGGTGTTCGTGTATATGTACATGTGCATGCATGTATGCGTGTGTATGTGTGTGTGTTGTTTGCATTTGTTTGGGGATGAGGTGGGAGAGAAGTAGCTGAGGGGAGAAGTCAGCATTTCTGAAATATTGCCTGATGATTTAAAAAGAAAAAAAAGCTCTCCATTATCACCTTTCTACAAAATGTGCACCCTGTGAATTCTGCTCCAGATTTCACAGCTATATGATTCCAAAAGGTGTGCACATTAGACTTTGTAACAAAATATTTTATTATACAAAAACCAGATAGAAGGAATGCAGAATATTTTTAACACAGCAATCTGTGCTTATTACACAAAATTACTTTGTGGTAAACAGACAGTATTGTAATCCCATCACAAGATGAAGAAAAAAAAATAGAATCAATTAGCCATAGTTCTGAATGCACTTCAATTAAGCCAAAAAAGACAGCTAGCGATCTTTTTTATATGCTCTTTTTACTTAAATAAGTTTTAATTTGTCCTTTAAACAAAGGTGAAACAAAACCAAGAACAAGTTCTAGAACACTGAAGCAATCTCTTATGTATACTAGATGCTTGACTGAAGAAGAGTTTTTAAATGTTTTCAATGTTATTATGTAGTAAATGGCACTATTATGAAGCTACTAGTCATTCCATAAGTCTAAAAGGACTGCTCTGTGTAACACTGTGACTGCCGTGTGTGCTTAGACACGTAGTTTCCTCAGTGGATAGCACTCAGTTTATTCCGTAGTGATATTGTAACAATACTGCCATTCCCTTCTACTGCACTGCCCGAGGTGTGTGTAGCACAAACAGTTCTCATTACAAAGGACCAATTCAGAACTGAAGAGCTATGCATAGACCAAGAAAGACATAGACTGGGGTGGAACACACAGCATTTTGTCAAGCACTGTGCAATATTCCATATCTCCCCATTGTGATAGACAAACACTTTGCAGAAGGGCAGCCTACTATCTCACACTGCTTCTAGTCTTCTCTCCACTGGCTTCTGTGACCCATTTTAACTTCTAGGCCACAGAGAGTAGTAGCGATGCTCTCACATGGGCATGCACCTTTACACACAGCAAGATAGAGTGGAGGAAAACTAAGCACTGGCCTCATGTTCAGTCTTTAGGACATCACTCCATAGTTTTTTGAAAATCTTATGAAGTCAAAAGGGGCTGATGGTAGACTTTAAACACGGGATTGGCCATTTCTCAGTAATCATTCTTTCCTCATTGAAGAGGAGGCAAGCCCTTTCACTCTGCAGCCCCATCATGGCAAACTCTTTAGAAATGGAGCAGACACAAAGGACAAAGGGAGCATAACATCTCTTTTTGATGATGGTCCATGCTTTTTTTAACAACAGAGGCAACAGAAAATGCAGGAGTCATACTGGAGATTAAACATCAGTTCGAATAGAAATTCAGATGAGAGTTTTTCCAATTTAAAGGACCAAACTCTACCAAAGAGAGGGAGTTAACTTTTTAAAATTCCTTAAACACCAGGAACTGACATTAATTTCACTTCTTCAGCTTTAAATTGTTCACAGTGAAACAACACTTTAAAGCGAGCAGGTTCAAGCTGTGGAACAGACATTATTTTTCACATGACAGTACTGCTAACACCTTCTCTTGCAACACTGCCAACATGAGATTGTCACCATTGAATTAGTGGGTACTACGACATCTTTCACAAGCTGGTGACTGAACCTGCTTTATGACCAAGTTTCATCCTCAGACAAGCTACATGTACCTTCCTGGCAAAGCTGTGTAAACTACTAGACTCTGATGCCCTAGAAAGATCCTAGTTGCCTTTGTGTATATTTACTGCCTGCTTGAGTGTTTCTATGTGTGGGTTTCCTCTGTGTCTTGTAGAAACGTTGGGGTGTTTTCTTCTGCCATATGGCTCGTGGCCCGCGAGCCAACTACTTTAGCTGTATTTTACCTTCATTTTTTGATGAGGTGGTTTAAATTTTGTTTCACTTTGTGTAGTGAATTCACAGTAGTTTTCTGATTGTTGTTAAAAATGACTTAACATATTACACTGATATTCAATAAAAATGTTTTATTTCCTGTTGATGTTGCTGTCTTTCCACTCTTTTTCTTGTCTGACTCTCATGGTAGGTCAAGAACCTGCTGATTTTTGGAAACAGCTGGAAGCAGCAGCAGCAGCTAAATGAATGCTCACCCTGGATGCCAGCTCTGGATCATATCTGGGACCACAGAGTGGCTGCAGGGAAACAGTACAGACAGGGGTCCTGCATAGTATTGTTCTCAACCTATGCTTCTCTGTTCCTGTTTATAATTAATTCACTTGGCATAATTTGAACCTTTAAATTTTTCCCAAAATGTGTCCTCTGGTAGTATTACTCCAGAGCCTAAATCATATAATTTCTCCAGAAGGAAACCAAAAACACGATTGCTTTATCTCCATTTTTAGAGGCAAGGGTAACGCATTAAATTTCTTGTGTGCTGCAATAGCTAGAAGTAAACACCTTTCCTACACTAAATTCAGGATTATCAGATGCCTACCGTGCACCGTGTTGTTAATGCATGCTGGAACTCAGTCTCACACCGGCACATGTACCACCATGCTGTACTATGATATGTACTTAAAAGTAAGGGCTGTGGGCCCCTAAGAATATTCACTAGCCCAATCACAGGGACCATGCTCTGTGGTGTGGCACCCTGACCTTCCCTAAGCATGGAGGTACTAATCTTGAAGCAATTAAAAGTGCTACCTGCTAACAACTGACAGCTGTGTCTCTTTACACTCTACTGCCCTGGAAGTTGCCTCACCTAGGTTCACCTTTCTCCCCAGGAGTAGCCCACATTCCACAGCTACTTCAAATCCCTCTGAAACACTATCTCAGCACCATGGCCCCATGGGGTGATTGGGACTGCCTTGGCAACTGTACTACAGTTCAGCTTCTGCCTCTGCCTGCTCCTCCATGCTCCTTTGCAGGTGTGGTTCCCAAGAGCACTCCCCGTTAGACTCCTTACTGTTCACTACCATCCTAAAGTCTGTGTCCTGGGGCTTCCATCCCACAACACCAGTCTTGAGGAGGCGACCTCTAGAAGAGTTTTCTAGAAATGGTAACACAACAAGGTACCAAAGGAACCGATAGGAGTTACCCAGGTCAGGGAGTGGACAAGACTGCTGCAAAAGTTCTTGTTTGACAAGTTTACCCAGGATAAAGCCTTTGATGGCTGGCTGCACCATACCTCCTTCAAACAGCTCTATCAGTCACTGCTTTGTTGGGATAGAAGTGAAGCCAAAACTCCTTAAACAGCCAATTACTTAAACCATTCAATTACTACTGGCGACTGGAAAAAGGTCCTAAATGTGTGTTCAAAAAAAAAAAAAGAAACACTAGGAGCAATAACAACAAAGCCAGTCAGCATTGTAAATACAACTGGTTGTCCATAGTGACGAACGTGTTTCTTAAAAAGCTCTTGAAATTAGGTTGAAAATATTTAGAGAATATTTCATAATTATCTAAAGAAACACCCATCTTTGTTTTCACAGCTACTTTCCCAAAAGTTTCCTAGGTCTAAGGCACATACACTTAGGATATTCATTAGATAGTCAGGAAAATTCAACCACTTCAGCTGTTTCAAAAAGGGAATTTATCAAAGGAAATTGGCCACAGAGGGAGCACTAAGAAAGCAGAGACCTTGGGGAAATCCAGACATTAGTAGGTAGCACAGCCAAGGATGGGAGGAGAAACCATAGTGTTAATGGAGCCCAGGCTTTAGAGGATGGGT